ATTGTTCTATAATTTCCACATTCTATGGGATCATCTTTCTTTGGAATGGGTACAAATATGGATCTCTTCTAGTCATTTGGCCAGGTAGCTATCTTCCAAATCTCTTGGCATAACCGAGTGAGTGCCTCCAATGGGGCATCCATTTGTTGAAATATGTCAATCGGCATTCTGTCAATTCCCGGAGCCTTGTTCTTAACCAATTCTTTCATTGCAGCTTTGACTTCCTCCTTCAGTACCATTGGTTCTAGATCATATTCCACTTCCTGAAATGGATGAAGATTGACCAGTTCTTTTTGGTACAGTGACTCTGTGTATTCCTGCCATCTTCTCTTGATGTTTCCTGTATCATTCACTATTTTGCCCATAGAATCTCTCAATATTGCAACTCGAGACTTAAATTTTTTCTTCAGTTTTTCAGCTTGAGAAATGCCGAGCATGTTCTTCCCTTTTGGTTTTCAAACTCCAGGTCTTTGCACTTTTCATTATAGTTTATAATAATAAAAATATAATTATGTTTATAGTAATATAAATAATACTTACAATAATAAACATTATACATATATATTATTTTTCTCCATGTGTAATTTGTCTCCACAAATGTGGAATACACAATAACACCAAGGAAAAGGAAGACATAGAAAGGTGCAAAAGAGGTACAGACAACAATGATAAACACTTTCACTTACATAATACTGCATTATCCGTAATAACAAACATTAATATATGAGTGGATAAATAGGTAGACAGGCTAAATGATCAGGTATACCTAGGCAAAAAGGAATATATCCATGACCATATATCCATGACCATATATACAGATGGCAGACATATTTCTACATACATATTTTTATATACTACAAGAATGTCCATATATATAATAGAGCTAACAAGGCAAAGTTATAATAACTTCTTAGACACAGCTAAACACCCTAAGTGAGTGAGTCCCTGGGCCCATAGGCTCAAAACACGGTAGCAGGGGGCATCAAGCTCAACTTCCTACACAAAAACATTGTTCTACACCCTAATTGGTGAGTAGGGACTGGGGTCTTAAAAGCTTGCAAGTCACCATCTAAGATATAACAACTGGTCTCTCCTTGTCCAGAGCAAAGAATAAAGAAAACCAAAGACACATGGAACCAATTAGTCTAAGAGACTATTTGACCATCATGAACCTCAGCCAACATGACTGTGAGACCAGAAGAACTAGATGGGGCCCAGCTACCACTGTCCACCACTCAGAAAGGTATCAAAATAGTAGATCTTGAATAAAGTGGGAGAACAATGTGGAACAAAACTCAAAATCATAAAAAAAAAAAAAAAGACCAGGCTTATTAGTCTTATAGACTCTATGAAACCCCCAAGATTATGGCCCCATCACTCTTTGGACCTAGAATTGAACTCATTTCTGTGCCTTCAGCCAAACAATAGACAGGCATATAAGAAGAACATTTACACCAGGTAGGTATACACCTTAGAACAATCAACCATGTGAGATCAGAAGGGCAGTATTTGCACAGGGAGAGAACTCAAAGGCAGGAATGCATAAGAAAGAAGGACATAGGAAAAAGGTAACCACAGGGAGGAAGTGGGAAGAGAGCTGTTGCATTGTAGGGATGCAATCAATGTCACAAAACAAAGTGTGTATGAACTGTTGAATGGAAAATGAGTTTGCTCTGTAAACTTTCACCCAAATCACAATAAAAAGATAAAAATAAAAAATATCACTGTGAGTACCATATGCTTTCAAAAAATAATCCATGAGACCAAATGGCCAACAATTATTTCAAAACAAAGATGTTAATATAAACCAACTCAACAGAATGAAACACCCCTAGTCCAGCACCATCCCCACAGTCCTTGCTTTGCTTGAGTCCATCATTGCAGGCACTAAGTCAATCCATCTCAATGAGGCTCTTCCCTTTTTTCATTGACCCTCTATTTTGCCAAGCATGTCCTTCCCCAGGGACTTGTCCCTTCTGACAATATGACCAAAGTATATGAGATGAAGTCAGGCCCTTCTCAGTTCTAAGGAGCATTTCGGCTGCACTACTTCCAGAACAGATTTGTTCATTCTTCTGGCAGCCCATGGTATTTTCAGTATTCTTCAACAGCACCACAATTCAAAGGCATCAATTCTTCGATCTTCCTTATTAACTGTTCAATTTTTTACATGTATGTGAAGCTACTGAAATACCATGGCTTGTGTCAGGCACACCTTACTCCTCAGGGAGACATCTTTACTTTTTAACACTTTAAAGAGGTCTTTTGCAGATTTTCACAGTGTAATAAAACATTTGATTTCTTGACTGCTACTTCCATGGGTGTTGATTGTGGACCCAAAAACCAAACAAAACTCACTGTCATCCAGTTGATTTTGACTCATAAAGATACCTCCTTGGGTTTCTGAGGCAGTATCTTTACAGAAGTAAATTGTCCAATCTTCCTTCTGAGGAGTTGCTGGTGGGGTTGAACCAGCAGCCTTCTGGTTAGCAGTCAAGAAAAATGAAATCCTTGAAAACGTCAATCTTTTCTCCATTTATCATGATGTCACTTATTGGTCTAATTGTGAGGATTTTGGTTTTCTTTATGTTGAGGTATAATCTATAATGAAAACTATAGTCTTTGGTCTTCATTAATAAGTGCTGTAAGTCTTCTTCACTTTCAACAAGCCAGGTTGCATCATCTGCATATTGCAGGTTGTTAATGAGTCCTCCTCCAATTCTGATGCCACGTTCTCCTTCATACAGTCCAGCTTCTCAAATTATTTGCTCAGCATACAGATTGAATAAGTAGGGTGAAATGATACAACCCTGACACACACCTTTCCTGATATTAAACCATGAAGTATTGCCTTGTTTTGTTTGAATGACTGCCTCCTGATCTATACAGAGGTTCCTCATGAGCAAAATTAAGTGTTCTGGAATTCCTATTCTTCACACTGCTATCTATAATTTGTTATGATTCACACTGTTGAATGCCTTTGTACAGTCATAAAACACACGTAAACATCTTTCCAGTATTCTTTGCTTTCAGCTAAGATACATTTTACATCAGCAATAATATCACTCGATCCACATACTCTTCTGAATCCACCTTGAATTTCTGGCAGTTCTGTCAATATATTTCTGCAACATTTTTAAATTATCTTCAGCAAAATTTTACTTGTGTATGATATTAATGATAAACTCACTGCCATCAAGTCAATTCCAACTCATAGTGACCCCCATTGGGTTTCCAAGGCTGTAAATCTTTATGGAAGTAGATTGCTTCATCTTCCTCCTGCAGAGTGGCTGGTGGGTTTGAACTGCTGACCTTCTGGTTATCAGCCAAATGCCTTACTCACGACACCACCAGAACTCCTTGGTATTAATGATACCGTTCTATAATTTCCATAATTTGTCAGATCACCTTTCTTTGGAATGGGCACAAATATGTATCTCATCCAGTCAGTTGGTCAGGTAGCTGTCTTCCAAATTTCTTGGCATAAACGAGTAAGTGCCTCCAGTGTATAACCATTTGTTGAAACACCTCACTGGGTATTCTGTCAATTCCTGGGACCTTGTTTTTCACCAGTTCCCTCAACGCAGTTTGGACTTCTTCCTTTAGTATCATTGGTTCTTGATCATATGCTACCCCCTGAAAAGGCTGAACATTGACCAATTCTTTTGGGTACAGTGACTCTGTGTATTCCTTCCATCTTCTTTTGGTGCTTCCTACATTGTTCAATATTTTGCCCATAGAATACATCAATATCGCAATTTGAGGCTTGAATTTTTTCTTCAGTTCTTTCACCTTGAGAAATGCTTAGCATCTTCTTCCTTTTGGTATTCTAAGTCTAGGTCTTTGCACATTTATACTTTACTTTGTCTTCTCCTAACATCAGAATCACTAAATAAAGATAGTCAAATTATAAGGACAGCATTTGCACATAGGTTATTCCCTCAGAGAGAGGCCAGGCTCACACTATCTTTGAGGCTACCTTCAAGTATATTCAAAGACATCTATGTAAAGGCTTCTCTGACCATCACATTTAAACTTTACCAGTCTTCTTCTTCCTACTTGCCTTTCTCCCAGTCTCCCGTCTCCCTTCCCTCTTATTCCACTCATTGCCTGCTTAAATTTTCTGCATAGCCCCTCTAATACTATGCATTGCAGGGACCTTTATTTTTGCTTGTTTTGTTCACTGCTGTATACAAGCCCCACAGCACATGATCAAGAAGTTTTTCAATGAATCAATGAAAGTGTACCGCTTACTAAAACAAATCCATTGTTGTGGAGTCAATTTCCACTCCTAGCAACACTATAGAACAGAGCAGAACTGCCCCAAAGGGTTTCCAAAGCTATAATCATTATGAACGCAGACTGCCACATCTTTCTCCCATAAAGCAACTAGTGAATTCAAACCACCAACCTTTTAGTTAGCAGCTGAGCACTTAACCAATATGTCACCAAGGTACCTTGTACAGCTACTAGAAAGCCCAAAATGTGATTATACGTTTCCATTACTTCACAATTTTTTTTTGGGAAAAAAATATTTCTACAAAGATTATCCATTACAACTTGTTCAAATCAACAAGCAGTCCTAGAAACCACTTTTGTTTAAAAAAAAAAAAAAAAAAAACGCCTGCCATAAGTAAAAAAATCATGTTTGCAAATGTAATAATAAAGCAGGTCACATGAATTTTTCAGTTTCCCAGTGGATATGAAAGTTTACACTACACTGTAGTCTATTAAGTGTGCAACAGCATTATGAAAAAGTTTGAAATACTGTGACAATTAACAAAATGTGACAGAGACATGAAGTGAGCACATGCTATCAGAAAAATGGCACCAATAGACTTGTTCAATGCAAGGTTTCTATAAACTTTCAATTTATAAAAACTACAGAATCTGCTCATTGCATTACACCAAAGCCTAATAAACAAAGGTGTGCCTGTGTATCAGAATCTCATGTCCCTACCTAAGCATTTCACAGCATAATTTAAATTATGTCAGGTTACCTGAGCTATAGAGGCTTGGGGGTTACCCATTAAGTTTTTGAATGAACGCCTGGAAATCCATCTGAGTTGATGACAGAAGGAGGTAGCATAGGTGATATCCTTGAAGGGTGAGCTCCTTTTCTTTTTCTGAACCCCTGAGAGTATATCCAACTCCGTTTTCGTTTCTCTGAAGAAGGTGGAATTAGCATAAAACTCAGCTAATTTTTCTATTATGGTCTTGTCTTTTTGGGAAAGCTCCTCAGCTCTCTTGGCTGTGGAATAAAAGTAGATAAAGGGAAACATTATTAACAAGATAATAACTGATTCAGCCCATTTTTCTGTTACCCTTTCTTAGATTCTTCCCTTAGACTAGAGTTATAAGATTGACAGAAAATTATTTGATTTGTCATCATTTTACACATCACAAAATTAAAGAAAAGACTCCCCTTAGGACTGATACAATAATGCAAATGCTGATTTATAAATTAAATTAAAAAAACTGACAGCATTCATGGATAACTAACTCTAGATTTTGACTGATATCACCAATGCATTAACATAAATCCACAAAGCTAATCTTACTGAGCTTAAATGAAATTGCCCAATTTCAACCAACTCAATTAGGCAAAAATCTGTGAAGTCTATTGCACACTTAATAGACTTCAAAAATCTGACTCACATACCTTCACTGTCATCACCCTCTCTGTTTAACACCACAGCAGAGGAGTCTCCATTAATGACGTCCAGGAAGAAGTCTGCAGGGTTATTATAAGGCTCACAGTTGTAACCTAAAAAGAAGGAAACCCAAGTACACAAACTTGATGTTATCTTGGAAAATAAGAAGACCTACTTACAGGCGGAAGGATGACTGGCTAAAGAAGACACATCTGATAACTTCTCCTGTATCTTCTCATTCACACATTATTTCAACAATTGTCTGTCTCTCACCAAAAATCATACTCCAAACCAACCATGGACTCTCAGAAAGTCTGTATTAGTGCTTGGTGCTTACCCTTCATAATTCATGAAACCTAAAACAGCCATCGATATGCTCTGGTGTTTATCAGTACTTCTTCAAAATTCTAAATATGGGACCAAGAAAGAGAAAGCTGGAAAACAAATAGCTACAGGTAGAACTAATGATCCCCAAAGCAAACAGGTAAGCAAGGCCCAGCCTAAGGCAAAGCAGGCCTGTGCCCAAGAAAGGCCTGTTCTCTGGGTCCAGCTAGAGATAGTGTGAATGGCCGTCCCCACCTTAGCAATGATCACTATTGATTCAAGGAGCCCTGTGGCACAATTGTTAAGTGCTCAGCTGCTAACTGAAATGTCGGTGGTTCGAAAGCTGCTCCACAGGAGAAGAGACCTGGTGATCTATTCCCATAAAGAGTTCCACCTAGAAAATTCTATGAGGCAGTTCTACTCTGTCCTCTAGGGTCACTATGACTTGGAATTGACTTGAGGGCACAATTATTTCTTCCCCACATACTGAATTCAGAGATCCAAAATACCATTGGCTTTGCTGCTACAATTCCAATGTAGAGAACAAGTCACCATAGCAGCATTCTAAGAGAGAAAAGGATGGGTAGAGGACCTGAATGTTTACCTCAATTTCCTGTGGCATGATCATAGTCTTAGGCTGACTCTGAGGTTCATGTCCCCTATCTTTGCTTTTTAACACTTTCTAACAAGGTCTTTTGTGGATTTGCCCACTGCAATACAAAGTCTCATTTCCCTACATCTAAGTATACTTAATATGTCTGAAAGGTCAGACATCAAACAAAAAACAAATTGAGAAAGTTAGTGAATATTTATTTAACACTATACTTAGAGCCAGAGTGTATCACTTACCATCATATACAAATATTTCTCAAATGAAGCAGAGTGCATAGTAACCCATAAAACACACATATTTCTGTCTACAATAAAAAGAACCAGAAGAGACTCAGAATTGTCAGAAAAGCCAGATTTGTGACTCTCCATTCAATTGACTGATAGGTTGCTCACAACCACTCAAGACCTAAATCTACAATCTAATGTTACCTGAAAATTCAGTAACATGATAACCCTTCATCAGGTAGGCTACCATCATGAGCAAGGGACAAAAATGATAAAACTTGATTATATAATTAAGAAAGCAATTATTTGGGAATATTAATAATATTCAAGTAACAGAGTAAAACTGATTATGAGGCCAACACATTAATTACTGGACTTTTAGGGAAGGGTTACCATAATTGGGAAATAGAATAGATACAGGCCTAGTAAAAACACTTACACACATATGCATGCATACACAAATAGGACAGAAAAGAGACCTAAACCTAAACAAGTAGCAAGGGCTGCAAAACAAAGACATATTCTAGGATTCTATTCATGACGGATTTTACTGCCTGAAAAAGTCAACCATACCAGCAGATGCAAAGTAGCCCAAGGCCTCCTGAGCAGGTCCATGGAACATTAGTCGTCCTGAGGCCAATAAAGTGAGGCTATCAAACAACTTAAAGATGGAATATCTAGGTTGATGAATGGAGAAGATGATTGTCCGTCCCTGTTTAGACATCCTAAGTTAAAAATGAGAAGATAATGAGTCATTAAACATCTGCAACTGGCATTTCTTGGTAAAGTACTTTAGTCCTGCCTTTAGATACCTTGTTCTTGTTTCATCTTCATTTTCTCTTATTAACCTCTCATCTCGTATTATCTGCCTGATTGTTAACTCATTGCCACTGAGTTGATTCAAATTCATAGAGATCCTATAGGACAGAGTACAACCATTCAATAGGGTTGCCAAGGCTATAATCTTTATGGAAGCAGACTGCCACATCTTCCTCCTGTAGTGCAGCTAGTGGGTCCAAACCACTGACTTTTCAGTTAGCAACCAAGTGCTTAACCACTGCACTACCAGGGTTCCTATTTGATAGTTAGGGAACCAAAAGTCAATGCCTTTAGTAAGGATTACGATTTCTTTAAGCTTGGTGGCACATGGGTATTGTAGAATCAGTGTTGATTAAAAATGCAGATTCTAAGACATTCTTCTCAAGCCTATTGAATTAGAAATTCTGAGAGTAGATCTAGGAAATCCATGTTTTTAATAAGTACCCTAAGAATTTTGTTGTTCATGTTTGAGAACTTATTATTGACTAAATATGAAAGAAAACAGTGGAATGACCCAATCTCACTGATCATTTAAGTCTTCTGGCTCTTTAAGAATTGGTTTTCATCCTCCTGTCCTAATAATGTTTAACAATGTTGTTCTTGTTAGGTTCCTTAGAGTTGGCTTCAACTAATAGTGACACTATGTACAACAGAACAAAACACTGCCCAGACTTGTGCCATCCTCACAATTTTGCTATATGTTTGAACCCATCATGAAACCACTGTGTCAATCCATGTTGAAAGTCTTCCTCTTTTTCTCTGACCCTCTATTTTACCAAGCATGATATCCTTCTCCAAGGAATGGTCCCTTCTGACAATATGATCAAAGTGCATGAGATGAAGTCTGGTCATTCTCACTTCTAAGGAGCATTGCAGTAGCACTTCTTCCAAGACAAATTTGTTTGTTCTTCTGGCAGGCCATGGTATTTTCAGTATACTTCACACCACAGTTCAAAGGCATCACCTCTTCTTCAGTCTTCCTTATTCATTGTCCAGCTTTCAAGTGCATATAAGGCTATCGAAAATACCATGGCTTAGGTTAGGTGTACCTTAGTCTTCAAAGTGACATCTTTGCTTTTTAACACTTTCTAAAGAGGTTTTTTGTGGATTTGCCCAGTGCAATACAAAGTCCGATTTCTTGACTGCTGCTTCCATGTTTATTGATTGTGGATCCAAGTAAAATGAAATCCCAATTTCAATCTTTTCTACGTTTATCATGATGTTGCTTGGATTTTTGGAGTCCAGTTGTGAGGATTTTTGTTTTATTTTGAGGTGTAATCCATACTGAAGACTGTAGTCTTTGATCTTAATTAGTAAACACTTCAAGTCATCTTCACTTTCAGAAGCAAGATTGTGTCGTCTGTGTATCACAGGCTGTTAATGAGTCTTCCCCCAGTCCTGATCTGTATTCTTCTTCACATAGTCTCAGTTCTCAACTTATTTGTTCAGCATACAGAATGAATAAGTATGATGAAAGGATACAACCCTGATGCACACTTTTTCTGGTTTTAAACCATGCAGTAATCCCTTTTTCTGTTATGGTTAACAATATTAAGTATTTACTAACCAGAAGGCTGGTGGTTCAAACCCACCAGCCACTCCTTGGAAAGAAGGTTGGGCAATCTACTTCTGTAATGATACCGCCTCGGAAACCCAAGGAGGGGTCACTATGAGTCAGGCCCAACTCGATGGCATATAATAACAGCAACTGTCTTTAGCTAAGGACTTTATAGATAACCTCATTTAAATTTTCATAAATATCGTTATGAAGCAGTAAAAATATTATTATTACCTTCATTTTATAGATGAGGTGTAGAGGGCTAAGCAACTGGACCACTTAGTAAGGGACAGAGCAAGGATTTGGTCCCTGGTCTAATTCCACATCCAAAGCAGTATTAAACTACCCTTTCACAAGTTACTGCCTATGGGTAGCAGAAAAAAGCCAAAATCATCATTTTAAAACATGCTGTGAGAAGAATCCCTTCAATTTAAGCATTTTCTAAGCACTTACTATGCTTGAGAAAGGATGCTTGTGCCCCATCTAGTCAGAAACATAAAAAAAAAACATTTACAGTATTCTTTATCAGTTAACAATTCCCTAATGAACTGATTTTTTTTGTTTTGTTTTGCAATTCCCTAATGGACCAGCTACTTCATAGGAGAAAGATGTAGTAGTGTCTGTTTCCATAAAGATTTACAGAATTGGAAACCCTATGGGGCTGCTCCCCTTTGTCTTGTCAGGTCGCTGTAAGTGGAAATCAACTCAGTGGCAAAAGATTGGTTTGGTTTTGTTAATATGAGAGAATATTTATTGATTTTTGGAGTTACGCTCTGGGATACTTAGGGGTGGTGAGGCACAAGGTCAAAAAAAGACTATGTGAGGGGAGAGGGAGAAAAACGGAACAAATGTGCTAGGGGAATCTAGGTGAGGAGACATATGACCTCTTTGTACCATTCCAGTAACTTTTCTAAGTTTGAAACAACTTTTTTAAATTACTCAAAAAAAAAAAAAAAAAAAAAGGATGTTCAAAACAGAATTTTTGCAGTTTCTCCTCTAAACATGTGTTTAGCCACTGCATCAATACATCTCATTGAGGGTCTTCCTCTTTTTCAATGACACTCTACTTTACCAAGTATGATGGCCTTCTCCAGGGACTGATCCCTCCTGATAATATATCCAAAGTACATGAGATGAAGTTTTACCATCCTCATTTCTAAGGAGCCTTCTGGCTGTACTTCTTCCAAGACAGATTTGTTCATTCTTCTGGCAATCCACGGTATAGTCAACATTGTTCGCCAACACCATAATTCAAATGCATCAATTCTTCCTTATTCACTGTTCCGCTTTCACATGCATATGAGGCCATTGAAAATACCATGGCTTGAGTCAGATGCACATTAATCCTCAAAGTGATACATTTGCTTTTTAAGACATTAAAGAGGTCTTTTGCAGCAGATTGGCCAAATGCAATCCATTGTTTTATTTCTTGACTGCTGTTTCCATGGGCATTGATTGCAGATCCAAGTAAAATGATATCCTTGACAACTTTAATATTTTTTCTGTTTATCATGATGCTGCCAGGATTTTTGTTTTCTTTAGGTTGAAGTGTAATCCATACTGAAGCCTACCGTTTTTGAACTTCCTCAGTAAGTGCTTCAAGTCCTCTTCACTTTCAGCAAGCAAGGTTGTGTCATCTGCATATCACAGGTTGTTAATGAGTCTTCCTCTAGTCCTAATGTTGTGTTCTCCTTCATACAGTCCAGCTCTATGGATTATTTGTTCAGCATACAGATTGGATAAGTGTCATGAAAGGATACAACCCTAATGCACACCTTTCCTGATTTTCAACCAGCTGAACCACCACAAACAGCCTCCTTACTGGTTTCCCAGCACTCACCCTTGCCCAATTACATAGTCTCTGGCAGCATAGAGCATAAGGCATTTGACTGCTAACCAGAAGGCTGGCAGTTCAAACCCACCAGCCACTCCTCAGAAGGAAGGCTGGGCAATCTACTTTCATAGAGACACTGCCTCAAAAACAAAGGACAGGTCGTTATAAGTCAGATCCAACTCGATGCCAGTGAGTTTGTTTTTTTTGGTTTTTTTTTTTTGTACTCTGCACATCTGCCACTCCTAAAATTCTCTAAAAGCGTCCCATGTCATCCAGTGACAATAAAAGTGATAGTTCTTACAGTGGCTTACCCATTGCCATCGAGTCAATTCCAACTCATTCATGCCAGCACCATGTATAGAACTGCACTCCATGGCTTTCAATGGCTATGATCTTATGGAAATAAATCATCAGGCCTTTCTTCCAGGGTGCTGAAGGAATTCAAACCACTAACCTTTCAGTTACCAGCCAAGTGTAAATTATTTTCATTGCCCAGTGGCCTACAAGGCCTATATAAACTCTGCCCACTCAACTCCATCTTGTAGCTATCGTAAACAACCTTTATAACCTCTGGGTCACAAGGTCTAGTCTCTCTGGTCTCCCTGAAGCTCCAAACACATCATGCATGTTCTCCCTTGGGTCTCGTCTGTTCCCTGCAACTAGAATTCTCCTTTTCCAAAATTCTAGGTCTCACTCACTTGCTACATCTCAACTGTCACATCACTGAGGTCTTCCTTGACTATCCTGCTATATAAAATAGTACACCCACCCTTGCCAAAGCCAACCTTCTCTATACTCTTCAGGTTTCTGAGCAACACTTATCATTTGTTTATTACTATTTCCTTCCACCCAGAAAGAAGGGATTTGTGTGTGTGTCTCTCTTATGTTTATTGCTGAATCCTCTGCACCAAGAATAGTACCTGGTACATAGTATGTGCTCAGATATTTGGTGAATTAAAAAATAATGTTCCCATAGCATTTACCTCTTCAGGAGCAAAAGAACAGCATTTGCTGTGCTTGAGTCTAAACCTGTTGTGGGTTCATCCAGGAACAAGATGGATGGGTCAGTAATAAGTTCCATTCCAATACTAGTCCTTTTTCTTTCTCCTCCAGATACACCACGGATGAATTGTGTTCCAACCTAAAACACCAGTATCAATATCATTAACAATAACATCCACAGCTACTATTGTTTGATGTGAAACATGTGCCAGTCCTATAAGAGGCACTTTACCTCATGATTCTTATTTATTGTGAACAGCAAACAAATTTACCAAGTTGGTTTCTCTTTTATCAGACACAGAAATTGACACAGGTTAGAGCTAGTAAGTGGCTAAACCTGATATGAAGCCCATGTTTTTAATTGTTGTATATTTGCTAAAAAGTCAAGACCAAAAAACCAAACTCATTGCCATCGAGTCAGATCCGACCCATAGCAACACTCGTTGCGTTTCTGAGGCAGTATCACTACGCAAGTGCCTAACCTTTCTTCCGAGGAGTGGTAGGTGGGTTTGAACTGCCAGCCTTCTGGTTAGCAGTCAAATGCCTTAGGCACTACGTCACCAGCACTCCCTAAAAAGTCAAGAGTGTGTTTGAAATACTTAGTCAAATATTTAGTTTTACAACAGTAAGTTAGAACACTAATAGATATGACCTTGACATAGTGAAATCACAGTCTAAAAAGGGAGATAATATTATTAGTGTTCATATAATACCTCCTCCCAAAAAATACCCCAAAGTAGACTTAGAAGAAAGTGGGCTTGGCAGCAAGGAAAGCCCACTTTCTACCACACAATATCAGCCCTTAAATAACCACAACTCTCTAAAACTCACTGCCATTGAGTCAGTTCCGGCTCACAGCGACCCCTCCTTGGGTTTCTGAGGCAGTATCACTATAGAAGTAAATTGCCCAATCTTCCTTCCGAGGAGTGGCTGGTGGGTTTGAACCAGCAGCCTTCAGGTTAGCAGTCAAATGCCTTAGGCACTACAATATCAGATCTCCCAAAATAACCACAAGGCTTACAAAGTAACCTTGTCAATGTCCCACTCCAGCAGAGACTTCCTGACTCATTCTTTCAGAAAATCCAGTAGGTGGTCTTTTTAACAAATCAGTGATGTTGTGAGAGTAGGACTGTGAGGGAGGCAGGAAGACTTGGGGGAGGCAGGAGGCAGGAAACAACTCATATTAAAAGTCTTAAAAAATGTAACAAGCAAATGCAATGTATGATTGTTGATTGCATCCTATTAACACCAAGCTATAAATGACATTTGAGATATAAATTAGGAAGTGTGAATAAATGTGAGCTCAACATATATAATTTTGTTCACTTTGTTAGGTGAAAATGGTACTGTCATAATGTAGGCAAATCTTATTTTTTACAGATGTATAATAAGTATTTAGGGGTGAAATATCATGCTATAACTTTCTTTAAAATAGCTAAGAAAGATAAAGCAATTACGGGATGCAATGTTACTAACTAGAGAATCTAGGTGAATAGTATAGGTAATCATACTACGATTACATTGTGACTATAGAAATTAATCATACTGCTCTCTCTATATTTCCATTATCTTTAAAAATTTCACCAAAAGTAGATTTTTTAAATGTGCTGTTTCAGTTAACCAGATAAATCAATTCTTGAGTCTAGGCACCATGAGAGAACTCTGGTGGCGTAGTGCCTAAGGCATTTGACTGCTAACCAGAAGGGTAGCAGTTCAAGCCCATCAGCCACTCTCTGAAGGAAGACTGGGCAATCTACTTCTGAATCACTTGGAAACCCAAGGAGGGGTGGCTATGAGTCGGATTCAACTCGACGGCAGTAAGTTATTGGAGTGAAAGGCACCATGATATGTTTTCCCTGAAAATTAAAGCAAGCAGTTGCCTCAAAGCAAACTAAGACAGACAAAATCAAACACAGAAACAGCAAAAGCAAAGGAAACTCAGTAACTCAAAAAATGAAAATAAATGGTAAAAAGGATAGCCTTCCAAAAACAATTGTACCAGGTAGGTACAATCCTTAGAAGAATCAGCCATGAGAGATCAGAAGGGTAGCAGCATTGCACAGGATGAAAGCTCAGAGAGTACGAAGGCACAGGAAAGAAAAATGTAGGGGAAAGATAACCACAGGGAGGAAGTGCGAAGATGGCTGTTATATTGTGGGAATTGCAATCAATGTCACAAAACAAAATGTATATGAACTGTTGAATGGAAACTCAATTTGCTCTGTAACTTTCACCCAGATCTCTCTCTCTCTCTCTGTCTCTCTGTCTCTGTCTCTGTCTCTCTCTCTCTCACACACACACACACACACATACACACGTCTGCCCAAAAAATACAACGAAGTATACATCACATAAAAGACTGTAATATGAAGCAGTAGCCAACAGAATACTCCCATTCTTCATTACCTCCAAATAAGGAATAGCACAGGGCCATTAAACCACAGCCATCATAATCTATTAAAGCTCATTTCTACCTAGAGCTTCAAATGTCTTCTCAGCAAATCTTCCATACCTATTAATCAATTGTAAGGTTAATTTGGGAGCTCTGGTGGTATAGTGCCTAAGGCATGTGACTGCTAACCAGAAGACTGGTTCAAACCCACCAGCCACTCCTTAGAAGGAAGGTTGGACAATCTACTTCCGTAGTGATTACCTCCTCGGAAACCCAAGGAGGGGGTCGCTATGGGTTGGATTTGACTCGACGGTAGTGAGTTTGGTTTGGTTTTAAGGTTAATTTATTAATCTCTTTTCCTCTTCCTGATCCTCTACAACCAGCAGAAGCAAGAGTTATTTTTTCTCTCTTCCCCACTTTATCCCTAAAACCCAGAAGAGAGCCTGTGGTACATACCAGTCTGTAAGTAAACAAACACTGGCACAGACAGGAAGAGAGAAAGAGAGGACAATAGGGATGAAAGGATGGGAGACAAAACTGCCAAAAGAAAGGCAATAGAAAAAAAAAAAAAACTTACATGTTGCACAAATTAGAAGTAAATCTTAATTTGACTGGAATTAATATATAGTAAATGAAACATAAAATGAGAACCTTTGGTTTCTAGTAATTTATCAATTCCAAAATATACCTCAAAAGCAATGGAACAAAGTCCCTTGGAGGAAGATTAGCTAGAAGGGGGAAAAAAAAAAAAAACACAGGAAGAAAGAAAGTTAGTGTAAAGATATTGAACGAGATACAACTTAACCAGCTGGGGTGAGGGAGGATCAAGAGCTGTAATTAAATGCAAAGCACATCTTTGCTAAAGAATACTTTTACCTACCACATAACAACAACCACATAGTCATACCCTGTTTCCAGGACTCAATTAGTGTTAGATTTTTCCTGGTTAATTTATGTAACTAACAACTTTTCTCATAGCTACGGAAGCAGTCACTTTTTGCCATACACAGAAAACTTCTGAATAATTTATACCACGCAGACGCTGTCCTATTTGCAGGCCATGATACTATCACTTTTTCCACATTACCTTGGAATCTGCCACTTTCTCCAGGCCTAACTCTTGAATGATCATGTTAATCCGCTCATTCTTCTCATGGTTCTTCATTGTTGTTGGAAGCCGAAGAGCTGCTGAGAACTGTAAATTTTCTCTCACTGTCAGAGTCCCCATCACGACATCATCCTTAAGGCAAAATGGTATTTTAACAACACTGAGTCTCTTCTGAGGAGCTCTGGTGGCACAGTGATTAAAGCATTTGGCTCCTAACCAAAATGGCAGTGGTTTAAATGCATCAGCCACTCTACAGGAAGGGGCAGTCTGCTTCCATAAACATATACAGCCGTGGAAATGCTATGGGGCAGTTCTACTGTCCTATTGGGTCACTATGAGTTGGAATTGACTCAATAGCAGTAGGTTTGGTTTGGTTTGAGTCTTTTCTAGTAACTGCCTCTTCTGTGGTATACTAATTTAATCTATAAAAATAACAGACTAGTTAATAATACTTCCAATTATACAAATTACAGTAACTCCATATGCAGATGTAAAGCCTGAGGAATAATTTTCATGTCCTATCTATATATTCAAATAGAACACAGGAAATTGTGATTGCCACTAGCTAACATTTCCTGATGATTTTGTACAAGGATTTGCCAAAATGTCTTTCTAAGCTAGAGGAAGGATAGAGGTTAAAGGCAGTACATAAAAACAAAACAGTAATATCTTTTGGAAATATGATAACTAAAATGAGTATCACTGTCCTAACAAGTATCATATTCTAGATTCTCCCTGCCTTTTCATTTAACACTACTCTGAATCTTATGGGAGATTATGGTGTAAAGAAAGCTGGTTCCATGAGCATGCCATGTAATCAATCGGAAGCACACCAAACTCTGCCAAGGCACTTGTCTGTATACAAACAGAGGAAATCTAAAATGCAAACCCCTAATACTTACTTGTACCACATAACCTGAATTACATTTGAAATTGGCAGGCCGAGGTGCTCCATTTATCAAAACATGTCCAGACAATCCATGTGGATCTTTCCTTGCAGCTAAAACATCTAACAACCTATAAAAGGACACATATGCATAACTTTTTTCTTTAATTAAGGCTCCATTTCTCAGCAAATCGGTATCCAAATTCTGATTCAAGTTAGAAAATTAACAGGTCAAGAAATTCTATGGTTTATCATTTTAAATTTTCATCTTCCTTTTTTCACTAAATGCTATAACAAAGCCTAAAAACATACAAGTAAGGCACTGTAGCCTGATCCAGTGCAGATATCCAAATGAAGTTTACCCAAAGGCTCCCCTTGATGCCTGGCCTTGGTGATGCCAACATAGACAATTTGCTCTTTTATCCAAGATTCAAGTTTTCATTTAGACTTGCTACTCCATCTCCCGGGAGCTCTGGTAGCATAGTGGCTAAGGTACTTGACTGCTAACCAGAAGGCTAGAGGTTCAAACCCACCAGCCACTCCTCGGAAGGAAGGTTGGGCAATCTACCTCCGTAGTGATACTGCCTCGGAAACCCAAGGAGGGGTCGCTATGAGTCAGGGCTGACTCGACGGCACATAACAACAACAACAACAACTCCATCTCCCCACTTTTAATTTTACAACCTTCCTTATACCCCACATCAGCTCAAATTGTGGCCAACAGCTGTCAGAACATTAGTGTCATGTTCTATTAGTAAGGCTGACCTAATAAGATTACCTGGTCCTCAACACATAACCCAACCTAAGACAAATGCACAGTAAATGGTTACCAAATGCTCATGGCAAGGTGATTTTTAAAAGCATATTAACATGCCAAGAAAAAAATTTTATATTCTCTATTATACTCACGAAGATTTGCCTCCACCCGTGGGTCCTAGTATGGCATTGAGGCCAGGTCTCATGATCCCACTGTAAATTCACAAAAAGAAAAAAAAAAAAAAAACACATACTAATAGCATTTCTTTCCATTTTAAAATGTGTTCCATTACTTTAAGGTTCACACTTAATATACTTGGTAAAGGTTACTGAAATTACAGACAGAAAGCAAGCACAAACCTACTCAGAAAGATAATAACAAAAAGAATTGAGTATTGATAGAAGCCTAATATACAAAAGATGTTAATCACTAGTCAGTATCCATAAAAAAATAAAATGGCTCAGGTCCTTCTAAATCCCTTTCACCTTCCCTAAACCATCAATTTTTTTTTTTTTTTTTTTTTTTTTAAATAACACATCTAATGCACCAGCCAATCCTCAGAAGGAAGGTTGGACAATCTACTTCCGTAGTGATACCACCTCGGAAACCCAAGAAGGGGTCACTATGAGTCGGGTCTGACTCCACAGCACATAACAACAGCAGCAACAACTTTCAAGCATTCCGTGCTTCTGAAGAAGCAGCTCTCATTTCCCTTAGTACACTGTAAAGTATGTAACAGATTCTGAATAATATTTGATGATAATTAAGTCACCTCATCTGCTACCTAGTAATGTTGCACATAATTAAATAAGTCAACAGACTTCTAGAATCACCAGAAGCAGCATGCTCACTGCTCAAAGCTCATCAGGCCAAGAACAAATAAATCTTAAGTAGAAATTCAATGACTAGCCACAGGAATAAAGTACTTCAAGGGTAAAAAGAAAAGCACCACCAGTTCCTGACTCCCAAAAAATTCTTAATTCCCGAGTTTCTATATTATGGAAACAAAATCAAGTTTTAGAAATAGAGTAGTGATGGTTATACAATACTGTGAGTGGAATTAATGTCATTGCTTTAGATAATTAAAAATGGTTAAAATAGCTAATTTTAGATTACAGATATTTCAAAGTTGTTAGGGATTTCATTTTATTTGGATCCACAATCAACACCCATGGAAGCAGCAGTCAAGAAATCAAATGACATTTGCATTGGGCAAATCTGCTGCAGCAGAACTCTTTAAAATGTTCAAAAGCAAAGACCACCTTGAGGACTAAGGTGTGCCAGATCCAAGCCATGGTATTTTCAATCACCTCACATGAATGTAAGAGCTGGACAATGAATAAGGAAGACCACAGAAAAACTGATACACTTGAATTGTGGTGTTGGTAAAGAACATCAGATATATCATGGACTGGCAGAAAAGTGAACAAATCTGTCTTGGAAGATGTACAGCCAGAATTCTCCTTATAAGTGAGGCTAGCAAGACTTCATCTCACTTACTTTGTACATGTTATCAGGAGGGACCAATTCAGGGGAAAGGACATCATGCTTGGTAAGGCAGAGGATCAGTCAAAAGAGATGGCTTGACAGTGGCTGCAACAATAGGCTCAAACATAGTAGTAATTGTGAGGACAGCACAGGACAGGGAAGTGTTTTATTCTGTTATACACAGGCTCATTATGAGTCAAAACCAACTCGATGGCACCTAACAGCAATATCTTACCCACAATACATTTTTTTAAAAAATTATAAATCCAATTAGAAAAGTGAAATGTATACCCACAAAATAGGTCATTTTCTTCCTCATTAAAGTGTCAAATAAGTGGACTGGAAGATTCTCACAGCTTAGATGTGGGAGATATAACTTAGAGTAAGGAAGGTCCTTCAAGGATGTATGGATAAGGTGGAAGGAAAAAGCATATTTCAAACACACCAAGATACTGAGAGCCATTGTGGCTATTAGGTGCCCTGATCCAGTGACCTATGTGTAAACTGAAACATTGCCAGGTCCTTCACCTTCTTCCTCATCTCTGATATGTTTGAACCCATTGTTGGGCTATTGTGTCACCCATCCCACTGAGGGTTTCCTTTGCCTTCACAGACCCTCTACCAAACAGGAAATCCTTTTCTAGGGGTTGTTCTTTCCTGATGACATGTCCAAAGTAAGTATGACAGAGGTTCACCATCCCTGCTTCTAAGAAGCCTTCTGGTTTTATTTATTGAGAGTAGGAAGTTACAAAAAAACTAAGGAAGTGTTGACTGTGCAGAGACCAAATAGGAAGGCAAACAGATTGAATTCAATGCTGAATGTTAATGGGTGGAATGGTAAATAAAATGGACCAGAGAAAGGAGAATTGAGGGTAGGGCCAATGAAATTACCCAGGCATGATGAAATAGGGGACTGATTTAATATTTTCAAAATGCTGGTGTCTAATTCCAAGCCCTCTTTGGAACTGGTAGGTAGGTAGGAGTTCAGAGAAAACAGTATCTGTTCCAATAAAAAGTCCACAGTAGAAGGCTATTTCATTCCCAGATACTATCTGTCACTATTCTATGATTATATAATTGTCTAAGGGAGCTCTGGTGGCATAGTGCCTAAAGCATTTGACTGCTAACCAGAAGGCTGGCGGTTCAAATCCACCAGCCACTCCTCAGAAGGAAGATGGGGCAATCTACTTCCGTAGTGATACTGCCTCGGAAACCCAAGGAAGGGTCGCTATGAGTCAGATCTGACTCGACGGTACATAACAACAACAACAACAAGTGAAATATAAACTTCACAATGCAACTATCCCACAGTGCTTAAGTCCAGGAGAACCTCAGCATCTACTGACTGGTGTACTTGAAAAAGCCACCACTAGACTAAGTTTAACCTTTACAAATGACACAAAAATCAAATAGACCCTTCTGTTAGGAACACATTTGTTGTGCTGTTACAACTGAAAAAGGCTAACTGGATATTGCGGTGTAATGTAACTTTCACTTAGCTCATTACCTGAAGTCCTCTCACTGAAACACACGACAAATACCATGAGCTAGGTAAACTGGGAACAAATTGTACAATAGAAAAATCTCTTATTCTTTCAATGACCTCAATGACCTTTTCCTCCAGATATAAAAAGAATGTTGATGATGCAGTAAACTTTCAAGGTACATTTATCTATAGCTATTGATGAATCTTCTTTATCAATACCTAACTGTCTTTAATCTGACCAGAAATAAGCTTGTCATTCACTAAGGTTTCCTTATCAGAAAACTCTTCCAGGATTTAAAAATACATACTAAAATAATGACCAAGCAATCCTATGTGATTAACCTAAAACTGAATGTGAGCACTTCAAGACAAAGATTTTTACAAGTCCCTGAGTTGGGCTTACTTTGCCACCTAAACCCTGTTGTGGTTGTCAGGTGCTGTCTGGCTGGCTCCAACTCACAGCAACCCTGTGTACAGCAGAACAAAACACTGCTCAGTCCTGTACCATCCTCATCATCACTGCTACATTTAAGCCCCTTGTCGTAGCCACTGTGTCAATCTCTTTTGTTCAGGGTCTCTCCTTTTTTTGCCGACCCTCTACCTTACCAAGCATGGTATACTTCTTCAGGGAATGGTCAAAACAACCAAAGTAGGTGAAACAAAGTCTGAGCAGTCTTGCTTCCAAGGAGCATTCTGGCTGCACTTTTTCTAAGACAGTTTATTCGTTCTTCTGGCAGTCCATGTTATTTTCAGTATTCTTCACCAGCACCTTATTTCAAAAGCATCATCAACTCTTCTTTGGTTTTCTTATTCATTGTCTCTAGCTTTCACATGCATACAAGGCAATTGAAAATATCATGGCTTGGGTTAGGCTCACCTTATTCTTCAAAGTGACATCTTTGCTTCTTAACACTTTAAAACAGTATTTTGCAGTAGATTTGCCCACTGCAATCCCACTGCAATATGTGGTCTGATTTCTCGACTGCTGCTTTCATGAGTGTTGATTATGAATCCAAGTAAAATGAAATTTCTAACAACTTCAATCTTTTCTCCATTTATTACAATGTTGCTTATCGGTAGAGTTGTGTTTCTGTTTTCTTTACCTTGAGGTGTAATCCAAAGTATAATGAAAGGATATAACCCTAATGTGCACCTCTCATGATTTTAAACCATGCAGTATATCTGTTTTGTTTGAATAACTGTCTCTTGGTCTACGTATAGGGTCTGCCTGAGCATCATTAAGTGTTCTGAAATTTCCATTCTTTGCAATGTTATCCATAATTTGTTATGATCCACACAAATGCCTTTGCATAGTTAAAAAGCACAAGTAAACATCTTCCTGATATTCTCTGCTTTCACCCATGAACTATAGTGAACAGAAGCAATGTTATCCCTTGTTCCAACATCCTCTTGTAGGATATGGGATAGAGCTGAGAACCAAACTGAAAAAGTACAAAGTTCTAGCTCTCAAGAGATTTACATTCTAGTACCTTTGGCTGGCCCCTGGATTCATAAACAGAATTTTATTGGAACACAGTCATGGTCATTCTATTACTATCATCAGTGGCTTCTCTAATGCTACAACAGCAAAATTCAACAGTTGCAACAGACATCAAAGTCTGTAATGATCTGTTCTGATCTATGGTCTGCAATGCTTTGTTTCTCCACCTTACCCTTCTACCATACCCCCAAACCCATTCCCCACCCTGATTTACTGCTTTATAGCATATGCATAGCTCAATAAGCTGTAAACATTGCCAAAAAGTATTGTGTCATATTTTTTTTTATTACCTTACTCACAGTGTGCAGTAAAGAGGTCTATGCTAGGTAGGCCACTGAATATATGGTGCAGACCACTGACATGAAACTAAGCTAAAGGATTCAGGATTCATGTCAGATCAATTACATTTCCGTGGATAAAAGTCAATTCCTTGGTCTTGTTTTGTTTATGAACAATGGTGATTAATGTCATTCGCACTGCTTGGAGCATCATACCACCCTTCCCCTGCACCCATACACTTGACTTTTTCTATCCTTTTATCCCTAGCCCTCTTATTTAAGGTTAGAGACTTCCCCAGTATCTTCTAATCACACTATCATACTAGAACACAGTGAGTACTCTATTTATGCGAATCTCCCATTAGATAGTAAGGTTTCTGAGAACAGAAAATGTATCTGTCACTAGCCAGACACAGTCTTACACAATGACAGGCACCTAGTAGGCATTCAAAATTGGTT